CCCCCCCACCCCACACACACACACACACACACCACCTTCCCTGGGGTGTGCAGTGTGCAGAGTTCAGGAGTGCTCCTTGTGCAGAGTGCAGGGATCAGTTCAGAAGGGTGCTGTGTACAGAGTGGAGGGTTCAGAAAGGTGTTGCGTACAGAGTGAAGGGTTCAGAAGAGTGCTACGAGTTCAGGTGGGTTCTGATTACAGAGTGCGCAGGATTCAGGAGGGTGCTGCGTACAGAGAGCAGGGTTCAGAAGAGTTCTACATGCAGAGTTCAGGAGGGTTCTGCGTACAGAGTGCAGGGTTCAGGAGGGTGCTGCGTACAGAGTGCAGGATTCAGGAAGGTGTTGCGTACAGAGTGCAGGGTTCAGGAGGGTGTTGCGTACAGAGTGCAGGGTTCAGGGGGGTGCTGCATACAGAGTGCAGGGTTCAGGAGGGTGTGGCGTACAGAGTTCAGGGTTCAGGAGGGTGTTGCATACAGAGTGCAGGGTTCAGAAGAGTGCTTCGTGCAGAGTTCTGGAGGGTTCTACACTCAGAGTGCAGGGTTCAGAAGGGTGCTGCTTACAGAGTGCAGGGTTCAGGAGGGTGCTGCGTACAGAGAACAGGGTTCAGAAGAGTGCTATGTGCAGAGTTCAGGAAGGTTCTGTGTACAGAGTGCAGGATTCAGGAGGGTGCTGCGTACAGAGTGTAGGATTCAGGAGGGTGCTGCATACAGAGAGCAGGGTTCAGAAGAGTGCTACGTGCAGAGTTCAGGAAGGTTCTGTGGACAGAGTGCAGGATTCAGGAGGGTGCTGCGTACAGAGTGCAGGGTTCAGGAGGGTGCTGTGTACAGAGTGCAGGGTTCAGGTGGGTGCTGTGTACAGAGTGCATTGTTCAGGAGGGTGCTGTGTACAGAGTGCAGGGTTAAGGCAGGTGCTGTGTACAGAGTGCAGGGTTAAGGCAGGCGCTGTGTACAGAGTGCAGGGTTCAGGTGGGTGCTGTGTACAGAGTGCATTGTTCAGGAGGGTGCTGTGTACAGAGTGCAGGGTTAAGGCAGGTGCTGTGTACAGAGTGCAGGGTTAAGGCAGGTGCTGTGTACAGAGTGCAGGGTTCAGGAAGGTGCTGAATACAAAGCACAGGGATCCACCCCCAAATCCTCACCCTTGCCAGGATTGTCTTCTCCCTTCTAGAACAGGTTCCCCCATCACCCCTCCTTGTACAAATCCTCTTCCCTTCCCTTCTCAGCACAGCTCCCTTCCCCCTTCCTGCTCAGATGCTACCATGAATGCCTTTATTTCTGCCCCTCAAATCTCTTCTCCCATCTCCCAACACAGACATCAGATACAGCGCAGCTCAGTGAAGTAGGGGAGATGTTTTCCTCCCCAGCTCCCATGTGACAGGGCAGGTGGCGGTAAGAGATGCTGCGGGTGTCGACAAGGACAGCGGAGCAATGCCTGGATGGCCAGCATTAGTGATGTCGTTGGCACCCCCCTGTACATAACATCAGCTGTGCCCTGGGAGGGTTTGGTGCAGCAACCAGGTCAGGAGCACTGTCACTGCTGTAAATGCTGAAGCGGGGTTTCTGTGTTTAAAAGTGACAGTAGTGATCGGAAGGCACAGGGCCAGAGCCAGAGGTGGCGGAATGGAGTCCCACCACGTTTCGGTTGAAAAAATCCCTGGCTATTCCTATAGTATTTTTATGTGTAAGTATTTTATTGAACTCTCTGTATGGACTTTTGAAATCCATATCACTGTGTAAAATCTTTTGGAAACAAACATGGGGTCTGAGGTGATTTTGTGGTCGCCAGCAGCAATGGATCTAAATGGATAAACTCTGCACCCAGTGTGAAAGAAAAAAAAGCATCCTGTGCGGGTATTTTAACCACTTCCCATCCGGCCCATGTACATAAACGGCCAGACGGGAGCAGTACAGGAGTGGGTGGGTGTTTATAAACATCCTCCCGCTTCCCTGCCTGTGTGCGCTCCCTGGGAGTGTGCAGCACTGTGATCCGGTGCCCGCTGTATCCTCTGTGTGGACACCGATCGCTGTACTGGACCTCTGTGTGAGGTCCCGATCATGTGATCACTGATTGGCCAATCAGTGATCACATGAATAGTAGTAAGCAAGATCTCATTTCCTGACATCATTGCTTACTACTTGTGAAATCTGTAAATGATCACAGAGGTCACATGGTACTAGTCACAACAACCTTGTACCATGTGACAAGCTGTGACCAATCACAGCTCTCACAGTATTTCTCAATGGCTGCAAGAATGCAGCCAGAGAGGAGAAATTAGTGTTTTTACAGCCTTTATGGGTGTAAAAGCAACCAGTGTAAAAAAAAAAAAAAATCTTCATCACCCCCACAAGTAGTACAGTGTCACTATGGTGACACTGTACTGCTAGGGTGACAGTATGTTTTAAAAAAATAATAATAATAATATAAACAAATAAAATAAAAATGTAAAAAAAGTTTTGAAAAATTATAATTTTTGGTTATAAACTAATTAGTGTTATTTTTATTTTATTTTTCAAAATGTTTGGACTTTTTCATTTATATAGCAAAAAAATAAAAAAATCCCAGTAGTGAATAAATACCACTGGGTATTTCTCAAAAAAATGCTGAAACATTATTATGGGTACAGTGTTGCATGACTGCGCAATTGTCATTCAAAGTGTGATAGCACTGAAAGTTGAAAATTGGCCTGGGCAGGAAGGGGGTAAAAGTGTTTGAACTTGAAGTGGTTAAATAAAGATTGATGTGGTTTTTATATATTACACAAGGAGAGGTGTCCTTTTTTCTTTTTTTCTTAGCCTATAGAGAGAGCCTGGGTGAGAGTTGGGGATCTGGATATACAGAAGCAGACAGAAAAATGGTCTGGAGAAGAAAGGGTGGATGCACCTGCACTCAAGATTAATCTATACTGAGGACAAATGTGAATGAAAGAAAAAACATCTTGTGAGTGCATTTTTTAAACAGCTTGATGGCTTGTACCCTCAAGAGTACAAGCCAGCCACTGCTCAGATGCACTCGCTGCCTCTAGACCTTCCTCCAAAGCTCTAGAGCAGGGGGAAATTTCAGAGGGGCTGGCCTGCAGAGCCTCTCAGCCCTGACTGCAATTTGACCTCCTAACTATCACACCCAGGTTGCTACTCAGCCCTCCTCTCTGACAATCAGGACTCTAGCTCCCCCTAGCTAACTAGGGGGGCGCTACAGTATGATAATATAAAGTGCTAAGCAAACTGTTGACGCTATATAAATCCTGTATAATAATAATACTATAGCTATACAGTGCTATTTATATAACTATATTCAGTGCTGTATTTTGACAATGATACTTTCCAGTCAATTGCACTTTTCATGGCTAGGGAGAGTTGAGTGCACATGCATTCACTGTGATTTCACATGATTTTTATGGGTTTTTTTAATCCTACTTTTGTCTTTAGTGTTTACTTGTTTCTACATTCAAATTGATTTTATTTCCTTGTAGTATTTTAGGTTTGCTGTTTGCTGAACTGCTCAAATAGGACCATTTATCTGCCTGTTTGGCAAACTGGGTTCAGGTTGGATTTATGGTGGATCTGATCCTGAAGCTCATCCCTAGTATCAATCTTCTTTACCCTCTAGTGATGCCCAGATCCAGTTGTCACAGTGACGTATGAGTTAAACTATGCATCCTTAGCCTAGGCTGCCACTCATATAAAGGAGAAGCATGGCCGAAGCTCTTATTGCCCTTCTCCTGTGGGACACAGGACTGCTCTTAGTTCTTCATTTCTGTGATCCAAATTCAGCCAACAGAACTTCACTTAGGAAACAAATACTAAATACCTATGTATAATGCAATAGGTTTATTAAAAAAATATTATATATAAGTATGTACATGTTCTCACAAATATGTATGAAGAAAGGAAAATATTTTCATGTCAAAGGTTACCATTACTGGACTCTAAGGGCTTGTTCACACCATACATGCATGAAAACTGATGGAAACTACACGCAGATTTCCGTTGCAGAGACATCAGTTTTCATGCACCCTTCAATGAGTTTTATACACGTTGCAGATTCCTGCGCAGAAAAAATCTGCACGATACTAACGTTGCAGTGTGAACAATTGATTTTGTTTTGCTCTTGCAGAACGCATGCAGAAAAACTGACATCTCTGCACCACCATGGTGTGAACAAGCTCTAATAAATGGATGACGACAGTGGAGGGCAGCATTGTACAGTAACAAAAGAACACCCCCCTTCTGTCAGAGATTTTTTTTTTTTAGGGTTCTCTTTGCGACTCAACACAAACTGAGATTTTTACAATACAAGATAGCCCAACTTCACATTGAGAGCAGGCTGAGGATAAAGTATGACTATTTCTACACTACACACACTTTGCCATTACATGTTTGTAAATGATATGCGCTAACTGTAATAAAAGTTAAAAAAATATACATTCCACCATCCTTGTAGTTCAACACTGCCTGCAGATGATCAGGAATCCTAAAGTGCTGACTGATCACCAGAGGCAGGGAAAGCTGTTTTAGCCGGGCTCATGGACAATTTTATTATAGCATATGTCAGATATTACATAACCAGGGGATGATCTGTATTGGTAAAAGGGATGGCCTTACTTTTCAGACCACAATGCAAGTGCACTGTCTGGGCTAACAACAGATAAGCCCTATTATGAATCCCAGCTATCTCTGTTATGCAAATTGATTGTCTGTCCTCAGCTACATAAGGAGAGCAGGGGAGCAAGTAACATTTTACATCATCAACTCTCAATTTTGAAACAATGGAGGCAGTTGTGCTATTTATTGCACTTTACCCTTTAAGTATAAGAATTATTATTAATTTGTATAACTATTGTATATTATAATATTATTATATATAATTGTGTTTATTTGAATAATTGATTAGGTATTGTTTTTCAGGTGTCCTCTCTCAGACTTTCCGAGAATCAGGCCCAGGAATTGTAAAACCTTCACAACAAATAAAAATAACGTGCAAAGTGTCTGGGTTGTCCAGCTTTAGTGTACACTGGGCTAGACAACTGCCTGGATCAAAACTGGAGTGGATTGGATGTATATGGAGTGATGGTAGCACGTACTATGCTGATTCGCTAAAAAACAGAATTTCAGTCACCAGAGACAGTGCAAAGAAAGAGTTCTACATAGAAATCAATGGAGCAGAAAATAAAGATACTGGAAGATATTATTGTACTAGATACACTGTAACAGAAAATAACTGACAGGCCACTCAATTTCTCATTTCATATCTGTGCGGTAACCCACAGAAGAAGAGGAAGTATATTGCTTTTCTGTTTTATTACTATATCTTGAGAAAGTATTTTTTTTTTTATAACCTTTTAGTACAACCTCTAAAAAAGCATGAATATGTAGGAAAAACAATAATTAGTATATAATCGTTGTTTTTTTTTAATATTTATTATCATTTAAGAAAGCTAGATAAATAGTATATTCATTGTGACGATAGCTCTATAAAATGTTGTATCAGCACAAGTTTGAATCACATTCATATGAAAATAACGACTTAATCTTGCTATAGTAAACAAACAGCCTTACCCTAGGTTCACACCTTAACGTTTTCTGCAGCGTTTTGCATTTTTCAGAAATGCAGTACAGTCCATTTAACATCATTTCCTATGGGACGTGTTCACATCTCCACGTTTTCACCCGGTGTATTTTTTTGGAAAGGGTCAGGGTTTTTTTTTTTTTTATGTAAAAAGTTGCTTTTTTTGGTTCTATAGACTTCAATGGAAATGCTGCAGAAAAGTATGTATTGCATTTTTGGTGCATTTTTTGCAGAGTTTTTGATGTGTTTTTGATTTGTTTTGTGTTTTAAATCTGCCTATCAACAAGAAAATAAAAAAAACATAAAAAAAATGCAAAACGCATCAAAAACACAGCAAAAATACATCAAAACACAGGTGCAAAAATGCAAAATGCCTAAAGCTAGATTCACACCTATGCAGGTTGCGTTTGAACCTGTTTCTGCATTGTGTTTTGGGTTGCATTTTGGGTTTTTGAACCTGCATTTTTGCCACATTTTTTATGCTTTTTTTTTTATTTTTTCAAATGTTTCTTGTTGCTAGGCAGATTTAGAATGCAAAATGTATAACAAATGCATCAAAAATGCATAGAAAATGCCGCAAAAACGCAATACATGCTTTTCTGAAGCATTTCTATTGATGTCCCATAGGAAATCATGTTAAATGGACTTTACTACAATTCTGCAAAATGTAAAATGCTGCAGAAAATGCTTAGGTGTGAACATATGGTTACTGACAGAGTAGATTCTCTAATTCTCCACTACTTTTCATCAAAAACAAAACCAATGATCTGGAGGGGGCTTTCTATATTCTATAGACATTACATTAAATTGTGTGATTTAATATAGTTAATGGATGGAAGATATATGTGGGATCTGAAGTCATATGGAAAGAGACACCTCGGAGTGTTTATGCTATAGAGTAGACAAGTGTGTCATTGTCCAGAGATGCAAGAAGTGAACTTTCCATGGACACTAATCAAAGTTCCCAATTAGTGATTTTGAAAGACATTTCCCGTAACCCGTAAAACCAGAAGCTTGTGGGCCCCGATTTAAAAGTTGACCTGCGGTCCCCCACTGCCACCCACGTTTCCACTGAGTGCTAAGATACCCCCATCGCGCACCAAGATAATTAATTGGCTAAATAGTTATATTTGATCTTTATTTACATATTAAGAGGGTCATTCAAAACATTTTAGAGAACCTGTGCACATTGTGACATACCTCTCCAATTCTTTTGTATACCTTGGAGCAGAGGTAGGCAGCCTTTGAGAAGTGGAGATCTACATGAACAACATAAAACAGATCAAAGATCACTGGGGTTTGGCTTCCTTTAAAAAAAAAAAAATAATAACTAGCAAGGCCTGTAGGCAGGTGCTACTTTTTCCACTGCAGGTGGTGCTCCTTTGCAAGGACACTGCAGCTGAAGAGGAATTCAAGAGGAACACAGTTTCTCCTATGGTTTTCTGGGTCACTGGGAGAACACCCGATTGGATGCTGCCACTCTATGTGACCCCCGCAGCATCTTCCCACTTGGGTAGAGGATGGCAAGGCCACACTTCACCCTCCTAACAGACGTTGTAAATCCGGTTGATATCTGTGATCTTCACATCATTGGAACCCATGAGTGCACCGGGTTGGGCAGGTGTCCCTTTGGGTTATTGTGAACTGTTATTGCATTACGTGATTACAGATTTCCCTTGCACCTGACTGAATTATTACCACCGCACCCAACCTACAGGCCTAACTAAATACTAAGGAAAACTTAGAAAAAAATAATAAAACAAATGTCGCTGTAAAAATATATACTTAGCCTAACTTAAAAGTGGACAGTAGAGCAGTGGACAGTGTAAGTAGGTCAGTGGACAGTGTGTGGAAACTGTCAATAGGGCAGAGGTTGATGTCAGTAGAGCAGTTGACAGTCTCAGTAGAGCAGAGTACAGGGTCAGTAGCGCAGTGGATGCTGGCAGTAGTTTTTTATTTTGTTATTTCATTTATTAATTATTTTTAATTAATAATAATTATAATTATTTACTGTGTAATTCATCCCCCATAGTAATTCATCCCCCCAATAGTAATTCATCCCCCCTATAGTAATTCATCCCCCCTATAGTAATTCATCCCCCATATAGTAATTCATCCCCCATAGTAATTCAGCCCCCATATAGTAATTCATCCCCCATAGCAATTCATCCCCCATAGTAATTCATCCCCCATAGTAATTCATCCCCCCATATAGTAATTCATCCCCCATAGTAATTCATCCCCCATAGTAATTCATCCCCCATATTAATTCATCCCCCATATTAATTCATCCCCCCTATAGTAATTCATCCCCCATAGCAATTCATCCCCCATATAGTAATTCATCCCTCATATAGTAATTCATCCCCCCTATAGTAATTCATCCCCCATATAGTAATTCATCCCCCATATAGTAATTCATCCCCCCATAGTAATTCATCCCCCATATAGTAATTCATCCCCCATAGTAATTCATCCCCCATAGTAATTCATCCCCCATATAGTAATTCATCCCCCATAGTAATTCATCCCCCATATAGTAATACATCCCCCATAGTAATTCATCCCCCATATAGTAATACATCCCCCATAGTAATTCATCCCCCATAGTAATTCATCCCCCATATAGTAATTCATCCCCCATAGTAATTCATCCCCCATAGTAATTCATCCCCCATATAGTAATTCATCCCCCATATAGTAATTCATCCCCCATATAGTAATACATCCCCCATAGTAATTCATCCCCAATAGTAATTCATCCCCCATAGTAATTCATCCCCCCATATAGTAATACATCCCCCATAGTAATTCATCCCCATATAGTAATTCATCCCCCATAGTAATTCATCCCCCATAGTAATTCATCCCCCATATAGTATTTCATCCCCCATATAGTAATTCATTCCCCATATTAATTCATCCCCCATATTAAGTCCCCAAGTCCCCCCTGTGTCAATTCACTTACCTTTGCTCCATGCGTTCCTCTCGCCGTGTCCCGCGCCGTTCCGGTGTAGCATGAAAATCTGTCTCCTATGAGGATCTGTCCCCCTCGACGTATCTGCACATGTGCCAGTTTCAGGCATTAGCAGCCGATCGGCGATCTCCGGCACATGCGCAGATACGTCGAGGGGGACAGATCCTCATAGGAGACAGATTTTCATGCTACACTGGAACGGCGCGGGACACGGCGAGAGGAACGCGCGGAGCAAAGGTAAGTGAATTGACACAGGGGGGATTTGGGGACTTCAGGGCGGACTGTGAGAGGAGCCTAGCTCCGCGGGCCGGATTAAAAGGTCCGCCGGGCCGTATACGGCCCGCGGGCCGTAGTTTGCCCATTGCTGGTCTAGACAGACCCCTGATGTCTCACTTCTGAAACAGAGAAGGGGACTGGGGACAGTGATTCTTCAGTCCATTTCTCTGCAGCCTCAGCTGCACTGGACAGGGACTGAAAGGGAAGTGCTCTGTGCTGAGTGGCTTCCTGTTGATTCACAAACTTAAGCATAGTAAACACAAGTTACTATGCTTCAGTTATAAATGAACACAGGAGATAACGATCACTCACTATGTACATTCAGAAAAGGGAGGGGCCGGTAAATTACATATTTACCGGCCCCTCCCCCCACACTCCATTCTGAAACATCCCCAGTGGGAGAGGAGAGGGGTAAAGCCAGCAGTGCTGCGAGAGAACAGGTGAGCACAAACTCCCTGAACAAGAGGGGCAGCAGGAGGGAATATACGGGAACTGACCTCCTCCATTTTTCTCCTGCAGCCACTGAATGCGGGAGGGAGAGGAGGAGATGCTAGGTTACAGCAGCTGAAAGAGGAATATGAAGGGGATTGTTCTTTGTATTTGCCACCACTGCTCCCCTCCTCCTATCCAAGTGTAAATTTGTGTGACAGGGAGGCTGCATCAGTGCATTAAACCCAGTTATCTGAAGAGAGGGTAAAGTCTAGTGTGCTCCTCTAAAGAGACAGGAAGAAATGTTTTCCTTAACTCCTCTTTCACATGGGCATTTCATCTGTCTGTTTTTCATCCGTTGATACATGAAAAATAGATAGCAATTTATTTCTATGTGCAAACAGATGTAAATGGATGAACATCCATTAAGGTCCATTTTGTTTACCACTTGCCCTCTTGAGGATTTATCCCCCTTCCTGATTAGGCCATTTTTTGTGTTACGGCACTGTGTTATTTTAACGGACAATTGAGCGGTCATGCAACACTGCACCCAAATGCAATTTATGTCCTTTTTTTCCCCACAAATTGAGCTTTCTTTCGGTGGTATTTGATTGCCTGTGCGGTTTTTATTTTTTGCGTTATGAAAAAAAACCCGTCAATTTTGAGAAAAAAACAATATTTTTAACATTTTGCTATTAAACATGTCCATTAAAAAAATTAAAAAAATCAAATTTCCTCATACATTTACACCAAAATGTATTCTGCTATATGTCTTTGCTAAAAAAAATCCCAATACATGTTGATTAATTGGTTTACGTGAAAGTTATACCATTTACAAATGGTGGTATATATACTTTTTAAAATTTTTTACTAGTAATGGCGGTGATCAGCGGGACTGCTGCGGATATTCTGACACTGGGGGGAACTAGCTTAGTGTCACTGACATCCCCAGTGACACCAATACAGTGAACAGT